TTAGGTGCTTGCCCTTCCCTGGTGGCTCAGCTGGTAAAGAATCCGCCTGCAATGCTGGAGTCCCCGGTTCTATTCCTGGGTCGGGAAGGTCTGCTGGAGAAGGAAACGGCTACCCACTCCAGTATTCTTGGGCTTCCCTTGTGGCTCAGCTGGTAAAGAATCCACCTGCAATGTGGTTTCATCCCTGGGTTGGGAAGATCCCCTGGAGAAGGGAAAGGGTACCCACTGCAGTATTCTGGCCTGGAGAATTCCATGGACCATAGAGTCATATGGTCCATATAGTCAGACACGACTGAACGACTTTCACTTTCACTGCGTCAGGCGCGAGGCTAGTGGTCAGCCGGCGGGGGGGGGGGGTGTGGGGGGGGGGAAGGCTTTGGATTTAGAAGACAAAGACTCACCAAGGGCACTATAGGATTTTGTGATAAATGCAGGCAATGTGAAGGCTCTCTGGGAATTCAGGGGATGTAGCTCTCATCAGGGGGCTTCCCCGGTGGCTGAGCTGTAAAGAATCTGCCTGCTAATGCAGGAGATGCAATCCCTGGGTTGGCAAGGTCCCCTGGAGTAGGAAATGGCAACCCTCTCCAGTATTCTTTCCTGGAGAATTCCACGGACAGAGCCTGGCAGACTACAGTCGGTGGGGTCGCAAAGAGTCAGACATGACTTAGTGAGTAAACAACAACAACAGTCTCTCATTGAACTAGGGCATCCAGGGAAACATCCTGGAAGAGAGGACCTCTAAGGTGAGGGATGTCAGGGAGAATGCCCTATACAGATGGGGCAGCAGATTTGAAGTGAGAGAGTGGGGCTTATTGGGGGGCTAATGAGAAGCACACATATGGGGATGATGAGGAAGGCATGGTGAGGCATGAGGCTGGAGAGGTAGGCAAGGGCTGAGGGTGGACAGGGGATAGCTCGTCCCCTGGCCATAGACAGAGTGACTCTGAGAGCCTAAGCCTGGGACTTCCCTGGTGGGCCAGTGGCTAAGACTTCATGCTCGAAAAGCAGGAGCCCGGGTTCAATCCCTGGGCAGGGATCTAGTTCCCACATACCACACCTAAAAGATTCCGTGTGCCCCGACTAAGATCTGGCACAGCCAAATAAATAAATAAAAATAAATATTGAAAAAATGATATGGGCTATATCATAAGGTGGTTGCAAAACTTAGACAAGTGAGTTGTATACAGCCGTGCTTGACTGATTGTGAGAATGAGTTATGAGAGCTTCCCTCCTCTTCAGAGCAGGTCCAGGAGTAAACTGTCTCTTTTTGTCCTTGTTTGGCCTTTGTAGGAGCACCTGCTTTCTTGGCTGGACTCTAGGTCTCTCTGCCCACCCTTCCTTTTTTTGCGGGGAGGGGGGTGCTGTGCTGTGAAGCTTGCAGGATTTCAGTTCCCTGAGCAGGGATTGAACCTGGGTCACGGCAGTGACAGTACGGAATCCTAACCGCTGGACCACCAGGGAAGTCACATAGGTCTCTCTGCCCTTGACTCTGGTTATGAATGATGACCGCATGACCTCTAATCTCATTTCAGTTTCTCTTTCTCCTCCAGCCCTCAGGTTCTTCTCTGAGGCTGTTGCTTTTTTATTCTCTTTTATTTGAGTTTCTATTCTCAAATGGTGGTACTGCTCTTTTCTTCCTCGAACCCTGCTTTCTAAAGGGCTTCAGCTCCTCCGAACCCTGTCCCTTTCCCCAGCCCCCATCCTGGCGGCTCATCTGGGCCATTCCCTGAGTGACCCAGTGCCTTCTCAGTGCAGATCTGCTTGTGAGTGAGTTTGTTCAGTTTTATTTCCCTCTGACAAAATGTAAAGTGCTCGGGACATTTCAGACCCATTGTGCAATTGCTGTGATGTTGGGGAAAGGGTGGAGGAGGACTGAGAGGTGAAATAGGAAGGATAGTTTCAAAAAATTAGTCACTCAGATAAAAAAAATTTACCAAGAAGTTTTCATTTGAAAAGTTTTTCAAATTTTCTCAATTCGAGAGAATTGAGAACCATGAACCTTAACTGGGATATTTGATATGAAAGCGTCGTTGTTAATTTCTAAAGTGGGATGAAGTTAAAAAGGTGTTTTTTCTTGACAAATATATGCTGAAGCAGCTATGTAGAGAATGATGTTTGAGATCTGGCTAAAAATGATCTAGTGGGGACTTCCCTGGTGGTCCAGTGGTTAAGACTCCTTGCTTCCAATGCAGGGGGCATGAGTTTGATCCTTGGTTGGGGAGTTAAGATCTTATGAGAGGTGTAGCCAAAAAAAAAAAATCGTTAATTGCTGAGACCTATTCAAGGGCAAGTCTTATGGCCAGGCATAGATCACAAAATGGTTTAGACTAAAAATGGTTTCTCTTATGTTAAGAAAGTCATGCCAGGTTCTCTTTCTCCTCGTGTGCTTACAGTGTTGGACCCTGGTCTGGGGGTGCCGGGAGGCCCCAGCACACAAACCCTCCCCATACGGCTGCACAGGAGTGAGGGGCTCAGAGGTCCAAGCTGGGGGCGGGGCAGCACCAGAACGTTCCTTTAGTGGAAAACCTCATCAGTCTCTCAAGACTGAGAGTTCAGAGTAGACTGGTTCAGAGTCCTTTGTAATTATCAGATAATTGTGACAACAGTGACTTGTCAGCCAAAGCTGCCCTGAGGGGTGGGGAAGGAGCAGTGCCAGGGAGGGGCACGGAGGGTGAGAGGAATACCTTTCCAGCCGGAAGCCGCCCTTATGATTAATCTGAGAGGAGTGCAGCGGGGAGGGAGGAGAGAGGGAGCCTGGTCCCTTCCCCTGCGGGCACTGCCCTTGACCCAGACCGCGCCCTTCCTCTTCTACATCCTCAGCATGGACGGGGGGCCTGCCCCTCTCCCTGTCCTGTACCACCCATATCAGACCTTGGGGGGCCTTGTATTTCAGGGGTTGCCTGTATCTGAAGCTCATCTGCCTTTCTTTGTCCTCTTGCGTCTCGTTCTGCACCGCCTTGCGGAGGTGGAACATCACCCATCCTTTGCTCTGTGCCCTGCATGCGGTTGGGATGACCAGGGTGTCATATCCCTGGGCTGGAGTCCAGGTGACAGACCCCTGGCCAGGGGAGTCCATGGGAAGGCTATGCAGCAGTGGCAGGTTAGATCTGTTTCTTCTACTATAGCAAGAAACATGTCTGATGTCTGTTTCCCCTTTACCAGTTAATCATCTGGAAGAATGATGGACACGTAGTGGTGCTGGTTGAATGAATGGCTGGGTTACAAAGTGAAACTTGAAGAGACTTCCCTGGGCCTCAGTGGTTAAGACTCTGTGCTTCTAATGCAGGGGACACGGGGCCCACCCCTCATCAGGGAACTAAGATCTCACATAGCACCCCTGCAACATAGCAAAAAGAAAAAAAAAAACCACAACTCCATAAACAGCATACAACAAAACAAAAGCTTTCTGTTGTGTCATAGAAACTTAAAAACAGTCAAATAATTCAGAAAAAAAATTATATGTCTGTTGAGAAGCTATTAGGCTCCTCTGTCCATGGGGTTTTCCAGGCAAGAATACTGAAGTGAGTTGCCATTCCCTTCTCCAGGGGAATTCTCCTGATCCAAGGGTTGAACCTGAGTCTCCGGCATTGCAGGCGAGTTTTTTTTTTTTTTTTACCGTCTGAACCACCAAGGAAGCCCAAAAAGGAGCATGAGCTATTGGTGATATTTTCTGTTGGATCACCTCCCGTTTTCATGTCATCCAGGATGTCCCTCCTTACGAGTAGCTAATTAAGAGCTTGCTATGGGGACTTTCCTGGTGGTCCAGTGGTTAGGACTCCACACTTTCACTGCTGAGGGCATGGGTTCGATCCCTGGTTGGAGAACTAAGATCCCACATGGCCATGCGGCGTGGCCAACCCAATGACAGGGAAGACTGATTCCATTGCTTTTGGGATCAGCAGTGCCATCCTTCTAGACCTTAATTAGGAAGGGAAAATAATATGTGACAGCAGAACTCAAGATGCGGGCTCAGTGGCTAAGAGGGGAAGGCTGACACTCTCCAGAGAAATCTATGGTTCACATAACTCAGATAATACCTATGATTCTCTTGTCTGAGAGAGATTGGGAGGCTTACAGATAATATCCATGGCTGGGCCCGAGGTAGAAAAAAAACTGGAGACTGTTAATATGATTCAAGTGTTAGCTTTATTATTTTTTTAGGTGCTCCACAAGGCTTGTGGGATCTTAGTTCTTTAACCAGGGATGGAACTCAGGCCCCACCAGTGAGAGCACTGAGTCCTAACCACTGAACCGCCAAGGAATTCGCAAAGTATTAACTTTATGGTTAGATAATTCCATGTTCACCAGTTCCTAAGAAAGCACTAGTCAAAAATAGCAGGAACCCTGGCAAGTTCTTTGTGACGTATTCCTTGAGATGTGACTCAAATACTCCATTCAGAGTTCTGGGTTTCCTGGCTTCAGGGAAAATATTAATATAGTTAAATTGCAGGGAGGGAGGCATGAAGAGTCCTCTCCCTTCATCAGCCTTTAGAATTTGCCGTGAGAGGTGGAGAACAGCTAGTAGCTTGATCTAACGCTGTAAATACAAAGGTAAAACCCTGACTGCCTGTGCTAAGTTGCTTCAGTCATGTCCCACTCTTTGTGACTCAATGGACTGTAACCTACCAGGTTGCTCTGTCCATGACATTCTCCAGGCAAGAATACTGGAGTGGGTTGCCATTTCCTTGGGCTTCCCTAGTAGCTCAGCTGGTAAAGAATCCACCTGCTTTGCAGGAGACCTGGGTTCGATCTCTGGGTTGGCAAAAGGAAAGGCTACCTCCTCCAGTATTCTGGCCTGGAGAATTCCATGGACTGTATAGTCCATGGGGTCGCAAAGAGTTGGACATGACTGAGCAACTTTCACTTCACCTGCCATTTCCTTCTCCAAAAAACCCTGACTAAAGATACAAAATTATTTTCGAACTGTTTCTGGCCCTCTATGCCTGAGTTAATGGGAGAGATTCACCCCTAGCCCAACTTTGCTTTCTTGCAGGACCAGAATGTCCACAACAGCCCCTGCTGGTTGCCGCTCAGACCTGGACCCCAGGTACTACAAACTCTGCGATAAGAAGGCAGCCTGGGGCATCGTCTTAGAGGCATTGGCTGGCGTGGGGGCTGTGACCTCGGTGGCCTTCATGATTGCCCTCCTGGTCTTCATCTGCAAGGTGCAGGACTCCAACAAGCGTAAACTGCTCCCCACCCAGTTCCTCTTCCTCCTGGGTGTGCTGGGGATCTTCGGCCTCACCTTCGCCTTCATCATCACACTGGACGGCAGCACGGGGCCCACGCGATTCTTCCTCTTCGGCGTCCTCTTCGCCCTCTGCTTCTCCTGCCTCCTGGTTCACGCCTTCAACCTGACGAAGCTGGTCCGAGGGAGGCAGCCGCTGTCTATGCTGGTGATGCTGGGTCTGGCCCTGGGCTTCAGTCTGGTGCAGGACGTCATTGCCATCGAGTATGTGGTCCTCACCATGAACAGGACCAACGTCAACATCTTCTCTGAGCTTCCTCCTCCACGGCGCAACGAGGACTTCGTCATGCTTCTCATCTATGTCCTCTTCCTCATGGCGCTGACCTTCCTCACGGCCTCTTTCAGCTTCCAGGGATCCTTTACTGCCTGGAAGAGACACGGGGCCCATATCTACCTCACCACGATCCTCTCCATTGGCATCTGGGTGGCGTGGATCACCCTGCTCTTGGTCCCTACCCTCGACCCCCAGTGGGACGACACCATCCTCAGTTCAGCCTTGGTGGCCAATGGCTGGGTTTTCCTGCTGGTTTACATTGCACCTGAGTTTCAGCTGCTCACAAGGCAACAGAACCCCATGGATTACCCTGTGGAGGATGCTTTCTGTCAGCCTCAGTTCTTGAAACAGAGCTATGGCGTGGTGAACAGAGCTTACTCTCAAGAGGGGATCATTCAAGGTACAGAACCTGGTTGGGTGCAGAATCCTTCGTGGAAAAAAATGGATAAAATAAAATCGTAAGATATTATTACTGTAGGGAACATGCAGGACATGCTCCTGATAAAACATAAGTTCTCCAAAACTCAGGTCTTGCTTAAAAGTCATCCAGCTAGTTAGAGACAAATAGAACTAGAAGCTGGCCTCAGGAGTCATTAGTACTTTTTTCTATTTTTGATGTAGATCATTTTTAGGCTTCCCTGCTGAATCAGCCGTAAAGAATCTGCCTGCAGCGCAGGAAATGCGGGTTCAACCCCTGGGTCAGGAAGATCCCCTGGAGAAGGAAATGGCAACCTACTCCGGTATTCTTGCCTGGGAAATCCCATGGACAGAGGAGCCTGGCGGGCTACAGTCCCTGGGGTCACAAAGATTCAGGCACTACTGAGCACATAGGCACAGACCATTTTTACAATCTTCATGTAATTTATTACAATATTGCTTCTGCTTTATGTTTTGGCTTTTTGCCCACGAGGCTTGCGGATCTTAGCTCACCAACCAGGGATTGAACTTGTGCACTCCTTGCATTGGAAGGTGAAGTCTTTAACTACCAGACCGCCAGAAAGTCCCTATCTAGTACTTTCTATCCAATACCATGTAGGTTTCTCTGAATCAAAACAAGATGGAGCAAAGGAATGGAAAAGGAGAAATTCCCAGAGACAAGTGTGTGAGATGATGGTGTCCTTTATAGAAGACAACGGGGCAACTTTTGTAGAAATGTGGAGACTTTGTGGATTTTTAAAAATATACATTTATTTAATTTTTGGCTATGCTGGGTCTTCATGGCTACGAGGGCGTTTTCTCTAGTTTTGGCCAGTGGTGGTTACTCTCCAGTTGAGGGCAAGGCCTTCTCATTGCAGGGGCCTCTTTTGTGGCAGAGGATGGGCTCTAGGGCACTTGGGCTTCAGTAGTCGCAACAGGGGCACTCAGTAGTTGTGGCTTCCAGGCTCCCATGCGCGTTGACTCAGTAGTTGCTCAGCCACACAGGCTTAGTTGCTCCCAGGCATATGGGATCTTCCCAGATCAGGGATGGAACCCGCACCTCCTGCAATGGCAGGCAGATTCTTTACCACTGAGCCACCACGGAAGCCCCTGCTTTTGTAGATTTGAATGCACAAAGCCCAGTCATGCAGTGACCACAGAGCACAAAGTGGAGAGAAAACTCTTTTATCATAAACCAGCAGGAATCTCCATAAAGTTACTGAGGATTTCGATGTAGCCTGAAGAGCTACATTTTCTTGTCCGTCTCTGGCCTGCAGGAGGGAATTTTGCTCTTGTTTGGAATGGTGAACAGCCAGATTACACTAATAGCCAGAAATTGCCTTTACTCATATGCCTCTACTCATATGCATTGGTCTCTTGAGTTTATATCAGTCTCTAGACTTCCCTGGTGGCTCAGCTGGTAAAGCATCTGCCTACAATGCAGGAGACCCAGGTTCAATCCCTGGGTCAGGAAGATCTCCTGGAGAAGGAAATGGCAACCCACTCCAGTATCCTTGCCTGGAAAATCCCATGGATGGAGAAGTCTGGTAGGCTACAGTCCATGGAGTCCGCAAAGAGTCGGACATGACTGAGCAACTTAACTCTCACTTTCATATGCCTCTGTGCATTGGTCTCTTGAGTTTATATCAGTCTCTGGGCCTAATCAGGGAAGGGGAGGGGGTTGGGAATAGAAGGGAGGGACCTCCAAGGCCAGGTTCATGGCTCCAGCTAGTGAATTTCTCTGCCCTTGGAGCCTGTGGTACCCGACCTGCTGGTATTATCTCTGTAGCCCTGGTCCCTCTCCTGTGCCCCGGGAAGTATGAAGGGAGGGGGAGAGCTGGGGGGCAGGGCAGAGGGGATGTTTTCCCACCCATCCCCTCTTGTCCATTCCCGATGCTTTAGTCTATCACCTTATGCCTGAATCCACGTTATGGGTCCTTAACTGGCCTTCCATCCTTTAATCCTTTCCCTTCACTCCATAGACCATTGTCAGCTCCCTCTCCCTAAATTACTCTTCTGCCCACCCCCTTTCCTGCCTCTATGCCTCACTGGCTCCCCATTATCCACTGCGTTTACCAAATCCTTTGTGGGCTTCCCAGGAGGCTCAGTGAGTGATAAAGGATCTGCCTGCCAATGCAGGAGACATAAGAGATGCGGGTTCGATCCCTGAGTCGGGAAGATCCCCTGGAGAAGGAAATGGCAACCCACTCCAGTATCCTTGTCTGGGAAATCTCAGGGACAGAGGAGCCTGGCGGGCTACAGTCCCTGGGTCACAAAGAGTCGGACACAACTGAACAACTCCACACACACGACTGGTGAGGCTTTTCACAGCTGGAACCCCACCACCCGCAAAGCTGTGCTCTCAGTTCAAACAAACCAAGTCCCCCGCACTTTCCTGTCTGCCTGTCTGGGCTCAGAGAGTGTCTGTCCCTCCTTATTCTCTTTATTCAAAGAGGACATGTCCCTCCTTATTCTCTCCCTTTTCCAGCGTCCCTATTCCCCAGTCTTGCTCAGTCTTTTCTCCACCCATCTAGCTCTAGACCTTTGAGATGCTGTTATCGGAGTCTGTCTCATCTTGGAGTTATTTGCGTAGCTGTCAGATATTCCGGACTCTCCAGTGTCAGCCTTAGGGCAGGAATCATTCTGATTAGTCCTTCTATTTTTCACAATATCTCACATAATATCTCACAATATCTCACATTCCTAAGGTGCTTAGGAATTTGTTGAGTAAACTGAAGAGGTAAATTTGGTGGGAAATAAATGGATTGCTTTAAATTGCATTGTATGTATGTATTTAGCTGCCCTGTGAAGAGCTGGGCATGACTGAGCATGCACTCAAGCATGCATGGGCAGCTTGGGAGATCTTAGTTCCCCAACCATGGATCGAACATGGGCCACGGCAGTGAAAGTGTGGAGCCCTAACCACTGGACTGGAAGGGAATTCCTTAAATAGTTTTTGTGATGAACGTGGGTGTTTACTGGGCTGTTCCTGAGTCGAAATCCCTCTGATTTTGGTCTTTCCTGGTGGTTCAGTGGTTGAGACTCCCCTGCGCTTCACTGTAGGCAGCACAGGTTCAATCCCTGGTTGGATCCTCTATGCCACTTGCCCAAGAAAAAAAAATTCCTCTGATTTCTCCCAAATAATAGAAAATGATTGTTCATAGAGTCTATCCCTTCACAAAGAAAATCATGGAATTTCCACCCCTACTTGTCAGGCAGGCAAAGAAGTGGGTAAAGCCTCAGTAAGATACCCTCTAGGTACACCTCTGGTCAGATCTGTGTCTGAAAACACTAGCTTCAAATGTGCTTTTGAAGTGGCCTAGGGCAAAGAGCCTCTGGAGGGTTCCTTTTTTTAAAATTAATTAACTTTTAAATTGAAGGATAATTGCTTTACAGAATTTGTTTTGTTTGGTCAAACATCAACATGAATCAGCCATGGGTGTACATATGTCCCCCTGCAAGGTGTTTTGGAAGGATTTCCCTAGTGATTATACGTGGCTAGTTGTTCATTTATTCAACCAATTTTGGGCTGCCTCTGTGCCTGGTCCTAGGCTTTGAGGACGGTTTCCTTTGGCACAAAACTGACCATTGAGGACTTCCTTGGTGGTCTGATGGTTAAGACTCAGCACCCCCAGTGCAGGGGGCCCAGGTTCAATCCCTCGTCAGGGAACTAAGATCCCAGGTACTGTGACTAAGTCCTGGTGCAGCCAAATAAATAAATCAATATTAAAAGAATTAAAAAGAGAGTAAGATACCTCTTTAAAAACAGACAAACAACAAAAAACAAAACAAAAACCCTGATCATCTCCCAGGGAGATAGAATTAAATGAATATGCATCATGGTTTATACATGACTCACCTGGGGTGAGCACAGGTTGGGGCGCAGAGGAGGGGACCCTGACTTTTACACTCCTCTCCATCTGTTTCAGGTGCTGAAGAGACAGGGAGCACGCTCTACGCGCCATACTCCACCCATTTCCAGCTACAGGTAAAGGAGCTGTAAAGGAGACCCTTTCTCGTCGGCAGTGTTAGCACCTAAGGAACATCTGTCCTTCGGGAATAGATGATGTTGCCACTCTGATGGCCCCTAGATGTCACCTAGAGAGGATGACGGGTCTACTTTTCCTGTAATCTGCCTCATGAGGTTAGGACAGGAGACCTGAGCACAGAGCAGGGAGGGCTGAGAAGAAAGGGGAGGAACGTTAGAATCCTGCCTGGGTTGGAGGAAGAGGTGCTGTGGAAATGGCCGGGGAAGTGGAGTGAGTTAAACAAGACGAAATGCTTCCTTTTCAGAATCGGGATTCCCCAAAGGATTTCTCCATTCCTCGGGCCCAGACTCGGGTTAGCCCTTACAGTGACTATGAAGGAAGGAAAGATGTCAGTTAACATGACCCAACGGGTGAGATGAACGCCGCACGTCAGCAGAACCAGCAGGGAGTCCACAAGGTGAAGGCTGAGGCCTGAGTCCTCCCAGGAGCATCACAGGAAGACCTCTCCTCCCGCCTCCTCGGCCGCCTTTCCTCTGTCCTGGGGTTGATGGGGCTGCGGGGACCACAGTTTTCAGCAGCACTGCAGTTGTTCCTTGGTCCCATCCCAAGGCTACTTCTCTCGAGTGGGAGTCTCGGGCAACTCAGGGCAACTCTTAGCATCCCTGCCGTTTTACACGTGACCGAGGCTCTGGTCATCTGACCCACACGCTGACCTGTTCAGCCTCCGAAGCCAACTCTTCTGACTCTGGGCTGGCTTTGTGCTGATCACTTGGCTCAGAGCAGGGTTGCACATCTGAGCAAAACCAGCAAAGGACCATCTCTCAGCCCACTCTGCCCACATCTACACTGGAAGCCAACTTACCAGTACCTCCCTTCTTGCCCGGCTGGGACAGGCCTCAAAGTCTCCTCTGTGATGCCGCCTAACCAGGGTCCCTAGCGCCAGCTCTCCCAGACGTGCCGTTGGTCCTCAGACTTACCTCCCTGCCGTGCCTCACCAGGGGCCATCCCTCCAGACTGCACCAGAGTGTACAGGCCCCAGTTCTCTTTGCCAGGAGAATGTATGCTGTTTTGCTTTGAGTTCCTGGCGCTGATCATCTCCCATCCCCTTGCTCCTCAGCCTCTGTAAATAGATGTACCCTGTGTTCACCCTCTGCATTCTGGAAGTGGGTATTGTCCACACATGGGCAGGGGATTGTTTCTTGTAAAATAAGTTATTCACCATTCTTCCCTCCAGATGCAATAAAAGTGTGGCCGCAGCCACGTGAGCGGTGGGCACCTGACATTTGTCTTTATGCGGGAGCTGAAGTTCAAGGTTCAGTCCCACTGGGTGTGGGCTTGAAATTCCTCCACGTGTCTCTCCTCCTCCTTATGTCTACAAGTGTGTGTTGCCCAGTTTTAGGGGTGAGTGGCAAAGGTGAGGGGGGAGCTGGGAAGGGTCAAGAATCTGAGGTTTTGCTTCAAGTAAACAGGGGAGTGGCAGCTTCAGAATGGAGTTTGGCAGCCAGGGTCAGACCAGGAGGAGACCTCAAAGCCAGTGTCACATTTCATCTGAGGTTTAATTGTAGGAGGGGTTAAGTCCAGATCTCTAATTTAATAGAATTAGTTCATAATCTCTCTCGGAAAAGACAGGCTACCTAACAATTATCATTTGCTTAATCCCAGAAACAGCCTTGCTGGGCAGGGCAGTATAAAATTGCTTTTGGGTAAAGAAGAAGAAAGAAAAACGGAATGACATTTACAAGATTGATTGCTGAGTTAAGGATTTACCGCCCAAGAGCCTGACTCTCTGCTTCTCATCACAGAGAAAACTCATTGTGGGGAGAGGTGTGGTGAGGTTGGAGGGAATTAATGATGCACTGAATTAGGGAAATGGACATTTCACAGAGATTTAGCTGATTGCGTCTCACATAACTTTGCACAAACATCAGCCTAGTTTCGTAATGGAAAGGGGAGTTACAGCGACTTCTCTGGCATTTCCTTGTGGCTCAGCTGGTAAAGAATCCTCCTGCAATGTGGAAGACCTGGGTTCAATCCCTGGATTGGGAAGATGCCCTGGAGAAGGGAAAGGCTACCCATGCCAGTATTCTGACCTGGAGAATTCCATGCACTGTATAGTCCATGGGGTCTCAAAGAGTCGGACACGACTGAGTGACTTTCACTTCACTCTGGCGGTCCAGTAGTTAAGACTCCACACTTAACCACTTGCCCCACAGTGTGGCCAAAAATATATTAATATATATATGTAATATATATATACATGTGTTAGTTGCTTAGTTGTGTCTGACTCTTTGTGACCCCATGGACTGTAGCCCACCAGGCTCCTCTGTCCATGGGATTTCCCAGGCAAGAATACTGGAGTGGGTTGCCATTTCCTTCTCCAGGGGATCTTCCCAACCCAGGGATAGAACCAGAGCCTCTTATGTCTCCTGCATTGGCAGGCAGATTCTTTACCTGGGAAGCCTCAATATATATACGTATATATATATATATGTTATATATATATACACACACACCCATGTAGGGTTTCCCTGCTGGCTCAGTTGATAAAGATCTGCCTGCAATGCAGGAGACCTGGGTTTAATCCCTGGATAGGAAAGATCCCCTGGAGAAGGGAATGGCTGCCAACTCCACTATTCTTGCCTGGAGAATTCCATGGACAGAGGAGCCTGGTGGGCTACTGCTCCCACTTGCCTCACAGTGTGGGCAAATATATATCAATATATATATATGTAATATACACATGTATATATAAATAATATATGTAATATCTATCTATAAATCACTCTACCCCAAAACAGAAGAATACACATTCTTCTTAAGTATGCATAGACTATTCTCTGGGATGGATCACATCTTACACCACAAAACTAGTATTAACAAATTTTAGAAAAGTGAAATCATAACAGGTATTTTTTTCTGATCATAATGGGATGAAACTAGAAATCAATAGCCAACCTCCCCACCAAAGGAAAACAAAAGAAAAGAGGAATTACAAATGATGATTTGGACCCTTCTAGATTATTCTAGTCTTCCCAAAGAGGCCATAACCCAGTGAGGTTTGTTGTGAGGAGAAAACAAGATAATTTCATGTATATTATCTGTCACAGTGTGGGTACTCAAGAAATACATGTATTTCCTTCCCTCTTTTCAAAAATTTTTACTTATTTAGCTTTTTCCTTTTTGGCTGTACCTCGAGGTGTGTGGGACTTCCCTGACCAGGGTTGGAACCCATGGCCCCTGCAGTGGGAGCTTGGAGTCTTAACCACTGGACCACCAGGAAAGTCCTCCTCCACGTTTTTCTTTTCTTCTGTGTTTCTGGCCTGTCAACCAAGCAAAGGGAGCTGAGTGAGGGCGAAGCCACCGAACACTCTGGATCTGCTTTCTTTTTAAGGAAAAAATGTGCCAGGCCTTTGTAGCCCCTCTGGGGTCATCCTTAAGTCAATCCCTTCAGAAACACAAGAGGACATGAATATGGTGCCTGTCGCTGGAGACTGCTTTCTCTCCCGAGGGATAGTTTGGACAAGTAGACCATCATGTCTCTGAGTTCTTTTTCTTGCAGGTGGTGGAAGAATGTTCCCCATTCAGGCAGCAATTGTTGCCACCCCCACCCTCCCTTCCAGAGGCTAATCTGACTTCAGGTCTCTGTATTCTGTACATAATTAAACTCTTTTATTAATAGGGACATCCCAGGGACTGGAGGTTGGACATCTGAGAATCAGTGTGTGACTGGAGAAGAGGGTTTCAGAGCCCTTCCTCTAGGTCTCCATCACCACCTGGGCTGAAATAGAATGGGCAGATTGAGCCCCGCCTGGTCCTTGAATGATGCCAATTGATTGATGGCTGGGAACCGAGACGGTATCTCCTTGGAACTAAGCGGGTGATAATGAAATGAAGCTCAGCCACCTTCCCCTCATCTATCACTGTCAGATGAAAAATAGACCGAGTCTCATCTCCGCCTCTCACTTCAGGCTGAGGCCGTCCACAGCCGCCATACCCTCTGTTTCCACTGGATGGCGCTAAAGCCTCAGGCATCAGCCCTCAGGGACTCCGCAAACGTCCACAGCTGCTCTTCCGCGAAGGTCACCGGGCAGGGCTGCGGCTATTCAGCGGGCTTGAGGCAAACGTGCGTTCCATTTTAAAAGGCTTGATCGTGTGAGCTGTTTGCATCTTCTCTCCCACCGACTTTAAAGAATCCGCTCTCCATCTTTGCCCGACCTCCACTGCTCTGTGTCTCATTTTTGTGAAACTCTCCAAGGTATTTCCAGCTCGTTTGCAGGCAACCTGGCATCTTTACAAATATTGGTCTCATGTATTAATCTCCGTCGTGTCTGACTCTTTGCGACCCTATGGACTGTAGTCCACCAGGCTCCTCTGTCTGTCCATGGAATTCTCCAGGCAAGAATACTGGAGTGTTTTGCCATTTGCTCCTCCAGGGGCTCTTATCCACCCAGGGGTTGAACCTGGGTCTCCTGCATTTCTGGCAGATTCTTTACTGTCTGAGCTATCAGGGAAGCCCTTATTGGTTTCGTAGGCTGTTGTTACTAGTGTCTAAGAGTATTTATGGGGTGAGAACACTCGGTTTTGTCGGGAAAAGTTTACCAAAACCAGGAGTACAGTCTGGCCCCGGAAATGCAGCAGTGAAACCCCCACCGGTGCGTTCTGTGTTTTCCCCCTTCGTTTCTAGACTTGTCATCGTCACCGAGAACTGAGTCGCGCCCCTCTGACCTCTCCCTCCTCGGCCACTTACCTCCTGTTGCTTCTAGGTTTGCAGGTTTGCACCATCCCAGCCCCAGCCTGAAACATGGGGTTATTTCAGAACTGGAGGTGGCAGCTTCGGACACTTTCTCAGGTGTTGATGGCTGAGCCCCTGCATCTGGGAACTCAGCCTCCAGGGTGTAGCCTGCTGCTTCTGGAAATTCGCTGGTCCTCCTGTGGTCACAATCTGGCATCACTTCCATCGGGACAGATAATGCTTGGTCCCCTTGATGTCAGGGTTTCCAGGTATGCAGAGGAGTTCGTGTGGCAGAGGATTGGCATCTGACCCTGGTTTCTGCCACCTCCTGCTGGCCACCACTTCCTTGACCCTTCAGAGTGGGACACTCCAACACCTAAAATGTTAGCGTTTGAAAAGCTCACAGAGCTTCCTTAGTTGGTCTCCACAGCCCTCATTTTACAGACTTAAAGGACTTAAGTACACCTGGGCCCCGATTTCTGGTTCTGTCTTCTTTCTAATGTCACATCTGTGTGGTCCATGTTAGACACCTTTCTTTTTTTCTCCCAAAAGAGGGTGTTTGAGGAAAGACTCAAATAAATAATGACCACAGTCAGTATATATCTGAAGCTCTCCTCTCATCTTCCTTACCTGGGAAGTTTTCCTTTCCTGCTCCTGTTTTCTCC